CATTTATGATTTATTTTATCCACCCGCGACCCACCCGCAAATAATCAGAATACATTTTTTATTACCCGACCCGTGTATATAGGAAAAGCAAAATATGTTTGCTGCGTAAATCAGACGGACTTACTGAAAATGCTAATTCATTCTCTGCCAGCAGGAGGTGCTATAAAGCGGGAGAAACAGGTTTCCCCAGTAACGGCTGTACACACAGCAGCGCTGAGCTCACAAACGCTGCTTTATCAGGCATATAACATGCAAAATGAAATAAAAATGACATCGAAAATTTTCTAAAGATATTCTTCCTTCAGAAATACAATGATATAAAAACCCCCGCGCCTCGTTTTGGTTTTTAAACGTGCAGTACGTGCTCATGTTTATTCAACGAAGCCTTTTGGAAAATCCGTCAGCTTTGATATTGTGGCGAGCGCCACAAATAAATAAATGTATGGGGGAAACATCTCACAGCACAACCACCTGAGCCCAACTTTAGTCTACTCATTACCTTAACTTTAACTGCATTTGTAGCCGGCGCCATAGCCAGACTGATAAACAAACACAGACCGGAAGTTAACTTCGGGCCAGGCGCCCGATGAAACAGTCTATATAAAGCTTGAAGCATCAGAATCGGCATCGGTATCGGCCAATCACCATGACAAGAAATCGGTACTCAGTATCGGCTGCAAAAATCCTGATCGGACCATCCCTACCATGAGTCAATTTCTCTGTGGCAAAAATTAATGAGACTTATATAATTCTAATGTTACACTCTATTGCACAGGCTAATAATGAAAACAAGTGATTTCATCATCCATTACACATTGTCCCATGGTGCTTGCTGACATAGAGATATTTTATTGTTTTCACTTTTATGTGTTTTGCTCAGTGTGAGTTTGTGTGTCTCAGCACTCGTTGAACATCTGTATGTAAGTGGCTTCAGTAATGGCCAAAATGGCGAAGGTGCCAAACTCAGTTAAAACAACAGGCAATAAAAGCCTCTTTCCCAGCACTTCTGAATGCAGGCATGTTAAAAATCAGTGCATATGGTTTTGGAGATGACAAAGAACAGGTGTGGCTGTGTGCGTTCCTGTGCCTGTGAGAGTGTGCGTGTGAGGCACACATTTGATGGAAGCACTATTTGATTGCTGTTCAGAAGCCCTGGTCATTAACCTTAGGTACGTGCCATTTTTACGGCCCAAAACCTGTTTAATTCCCGAGCAGAAATTGCAGGAATTAAAATCTGTAAAGTTGGAGCTAACAATAGCATGCCTGTCTCTCTCTCTTATAGCTCTAAGAATGGACCTGCAGCTGGATTGGCTGAAGCAGCGTGGAGCAGTTAAGAGGATCTTGTTCATGGACTCTCACCAGCACCAGAGAACCCAACAGTTGGTTCTGGGTCAAGGGGACCGCCAACATTGCCACAACTACTCTGTTTACCTGCGGGTGAGGCTTATAGTCCACACGCAGCACAGAATATAGCTGAACTGGCCTCATTCTTCATGATAAATTCTTGTTTTATCTTCACTACAACTGAACCCATGAGAAAGTTAATTGTGAGCCAAACCAAGCTCCTAGTACAACACAGCTCATCTGGATGGAATAAGCAATGTGAGATCCCCTCCATGAGAGTGTGTCTCAAAAATGAGACCAAAAATTCTGCTGGGCCGAGGTGACACAGGAATTAAACACAGTCTTAAGTGTTTCTGGGTGTTTATATGATAACACAGGCCATGGGAAATACTTTTATTTCATATTTGACTGATAACATCTCAGGCAATATGACCTATCGCTATGATATATGGCAGATGTATCCAACAAACATCCAACAACATAAGAACAGAAATTATATATATATATAAAATTATTAAATAAAGATAATATAATACTTTATATATTATATTACTATAATATATGACAGATGTAAAGCATAAACACCCTAAAACTTAAGAACAGAAATTAGATCATTATGAATACGTAAAATGTTTGTTATTATTAGTAGTATACAATGCATTAATACATTTGTATACAATGATTAATTATTATTAAATACAAAAGTATATTATATTATATTATATATTTATTTTTGCATTACATTTTATTATACATTAAGGTCACATTTAAAAAAACATAGGCATGAATAGCAGTTCACAAAGAATTTGAGAAAATATTTGTGTTTGTAACAATTTGGATTTGTGCAAATAATCTGTGTGTTTTTATGCAGCAGCCTCACACTATAACAGCCTTGCAGCTTTTGTGTTCATAAGCTTTTCTTTAACAAATCCTTGTGCATTTCTGTTCAGAAACATAAACATACATTCTCATTTTCTCAAATCCTTGTAACTTATTAAATAATTGTATTTATTGCCCTTGGCTTTCTGAGGCAAGCATGCTCATACAGCAGCTGTGATTTTTCTGTCATTTAAAGGAAACAGATTGATGTCAAAGGACAAAGATAATCAAACAAGTGAAGTAGAAGAATAAGTAAAGTGAAACTAGGATGAGAGGAAGAGTAATTCAGTTGTTTGCGATCCACCTCTCTTTCTTTTTTTTCTTGCTATGTGTGTAGGATGAGGGAGAATTCAGAGATAAGCTGAGTCCTATCAGCGTGACACTGAACTACAGTCTGGACCAGAACTCCCCTCCACCTGGCCTCCAGCTGCGGCCCATTTTGGACCAATACAGCAAGACCTTCCACCATGAGCAGGTTTGCATGCAACAGGAATGTTTACCATTGTTTGTGAGAAGCTGCATGTGTGCATTCATGTGTAAGTTAAATAATTCAATAAGGACATCATGACATGTAGGGTTTAGAAGAAGTGTTTTCTTTTTTTTTTCTTATAAAAAATATGACAGCATTGTGTTGTCCGATATAAACCGAGTTAACTAGAGAAAAAGTAATACATAAGTTCAATTCGATGAACAAACAAACTGAAAAAACGGGAAGAGAATATATTTTTTTCCTCTCCCTTAGGCAAACATCCTGTTGGACTGTGGGGAAGACAACATGTGCATCCCAGATCTCAAACTTTCTGCTAAAATGTGAGTCAGTGGGTCTGATGCATACAGTACATATGTGTGCCATTGGCCAATTGTTTGTGTATTTGTTTTGTTTGCTGTGTTCTAACATGTATCAGTTGTTTGTGTTTTATAGCAAGTCATTCTTTGATTTTGGCCTCATATAAGAAGTTATTTTAAATACAGGTCTGATGATTTTTTTTTTTTATAGGGACCGGACTGAACTTATAATCGGGGATGACAACTTGCTTATGTTGATCATTAATGCAGCCAATGAGGGTGAGGGGGCATACGAGGCGGAGCTTCATGTGACCCTCCCACCAGAGGCGGACTATATTGGTGTGGAGCGCAGACGTGAGGTAAACAACATTACCCACTATCCTTTTTGACTGTACATATACTGTATGTATACATGCTTAACTCTGGTAAAACGGTGGTGTTGTGTGATGTTTGTTCCAGAGAGGCATGTTAAGGGCGGGTTTTAGAGTAGCTCTGCGGGGCTACTGGCCTGACAGTGGGGAAACAGTTTGATTTTGGCCTTGCAGCTCAAGGTTCAAGGCTATTGGCTCTGCCTGGCCGGTTGTTAGCCCTAGCTCGCACTGGCCCAACTGTGGAAAAGTGGTTCATGGGTGTATTTATGTGGGTTTGGGTGGGCGATTGGATGTAGAAGTTAATAAATGGTGTATTTAGTAAAAGTCCTTTGTATGATGTCTTTCATTTATAGTTTATATGATTATAGAAGGTTTATTTTAGTCTCAGATAGGCTTGCTGCGATAGACTGTGTTTTCGGTTATACCGGTGTTAAGTCACAACACCGGTTACGTCATTTGCCTACCGCGGCACCGGCCCCCACCATCATTTTGATTTATTTATAGTAACAAAAATCATTTAGCCTAGTTGAAAAGGTGCCTGTTTGGCAATATTTTAGATTTTGAAAAGCCTATTGACTGGAAGTTTGTTTTTTAAACATTCGTTTCTTATTTATTTGGTTCCACCATGTTTGCTGATTACTTCATTTAAACTTTGTGCATTTTATTTATTTTATTTTACATCAAGGTGTATATGCCGTGCCTCCAAGCTTTCTTA